TCGAATATCGCATTATTTAATGAGTTATCGCATATCGCATTTTTCTTCAATATCGTACAGCCCTATCCCACAGTCAGTAGTTTAAGAGGTAAAGCAGAAGTTATGGTATTAATGAAGGAGTGTATACAGTGCTGTATTAACTTGGTTTAGTCAAAAACAGTATTATACTAGCAAACCCTAATCGTAAATAATCAAGTGAACTGTTAGCCAAGAAACTAAACTTCTTTTTTTCTTTTCTTTTCTGAATTTGTTTTTGAAAGCTTTTCACATTTTAGAGAACAAACCCCCAACCCTCTTGCGAGCAAATCGAATAAAAAGAAAAAAAGGAAAAGAAAAAAATAAACCCATATATAGTACAATTAAATATACACCTCCATAAACATACACCGTTCATATTGTGTACTTATACAAAACACATACAGACATCTCTACATATGTGATGTGCTGGCAAAATGAGTCATAATGAGCAAATGTTCAAAAATGTTATGTAATATGTTTCACATTCTCCATTAAAAGACCTTCAAAATGATGTATGATTTCTTGGAATCTGACAAAAAATGACTGAGCTACACCCATTTGAAGTCGATAGAGTCAGCAAAGTCAGCTCTGAGAAAACTCGAGTTAAAAGTTTTCTGAAGGTTCCAAAGCAAAATCAAGTAGCAACATTGCTTTGTTTCCACCATTTCCTTTCTTAATATTAATTACTATATTAATAATCACAATATAGCCGATTTTTATTTTATCTTTGTTCAAAATAAAGAACAGATGTGGGCCAGGTCTGTTACACTGCGCAGCTCCTTGAAAGCTGTGGGGTCAGGTCCCGACTCATCCATACATTGGAGGAGTTTGGCCTGAAAGACCTGGAGCACGGCCCTGGAGTGCATGGAGAGACTCCTCGCTGGACCGAGGAGTATGCACGTCCAGCGAGGGCAGACATAGTCCTGCATGGCTTGGAGGGGTGAGCGACCTTCTCTTTCCATCCAATGGCAGTGGGCGGGCAGCGGTCTAAAGGAGGCAGCCTCTCGTAGCCCTTCTCTTGAGCGCCATCAATGAAAGTGAAGGCGGATGATGCGGAGGCCGAGCCGAGTAGGAAGCGCGCCACGATTTCGTGAGCTCGTCGTGGACCTCCGGGAAGAAAGGAGAGGCTCACTGATTAGGGGCCTGACAACACCCCGGCAGGAACCATTCATCCAGACGGTTACGAGTGGGCTCCTCCGGCGCAGACCACTCCAAACCCAGCTCCTCAACTGCCTTAGAGAGGAAGCACAATAGTTGGCGTCCATCCCTAGTTTGGTTGTCCTCGATTCCACCAAACGAGACCATGTCGCTCGCACTAGCCTAGGGAAACTGGTCTGGGTGCGCGAAGATGACAGAAGAGTCATCTCTGCAAGGCGAGAGTGAGGCAAGCTGGGCACTAAGTCCCTCTGCCCCACTGTTTTTTCCTCACAGGTCCCTGGGAGAAAGAAAATGGGAGGGCGAACACAAAGTTCCCCTAGTGGCCCCGCTCTGGAGGAACCAACTTTGGTTCTCAGAGCTATCTCAGCCGGTTAACAGCAGCCCCATGGCCCATTCCCCTGAGACAAGACCTTCTCTCTCAGACGAACAGGACGGTTTGGCACCCCCAGCCCGAGCTGTGGGTTCTGTACCTCTGGGCTTTCGATGGGGCCTCCAGCCCGAGCTGTGGGCTCTGCACCTCTGGGGTCTCGATTTATACTTCTGTGTCGAACCTATGCCGTGTGTAGCCTATGCCGTAGGCTGTGTAGCCTGAGTAGCCTATGCCGTAGCCTGACATGTGAGGGATGGGATGCATGATTGCAAGCTATAGGGATCAGAGAGCAGGTCTGAGGGAGTTTAAAGATCTTTCTGAGCTGATACCAAATCTTCAGAGAATTTACAACAATAGGGTTACATTTCTTAATTGTGAAACATTTTTGTTGGATTTTATAAGACTTTTAATTAGCTGAAGCTCCTTGCATGTTTCTCTTTTCAGGTTTGATCAGAGGATCTCCCTCACAATCTTTACTTCAGACTCCAAAGACAGAAAAAACTTCTCTTACCAGAACTATGTCAGGTGACTGGTGTTTGCATGTCACTAGATTCACCTCTAGATAAGTGAAATACTGTTTGGGCTATAATGACAGGAAGTGTTGATAGTAAATGTTGCAAACAATGCCGAAAGGTTTGTTGATGAAATGTTTTAAACTTTTTGGGTGTTTAAGCTTTAGCTCATACAGTAATTCACACCTGCATTTTGATTGAACAGGAAGTGTTGATAGTAAATGTTGCAAACAATGCCGAAAGGTTTGTTGATGAAATGTTTTAAACTTTTTGGGTGTTTAAGCTTTAGCTCATACAGTAATTCACACCTGCATTTTGATTTTATTCTTTTGCATATTTTTATTTTACAGTATGTAAAAACAAAACACAACAACACAGCTTACAATATATGGTTATTTCCTATGTTAATAAAACAGTTACATTAACAAAGAATGTGTCCTCTTGACCTTTATATCCTGTTTATCATATCATTAAGGTATAATATATAAAGTATGAGGAAATGGATAAAGTTACACACCAATGCAGAAGTGTACATTAAGATTTTTTTTATTATTATAAATATTCATTCATAAAAGGGTCAAATTTAGAGTAAAATTACTGGTAACTAAAAAGAGCTTTCATATTACATGGTCATGTTGATTTTTTTTTAAAGACCATTTGCTCTGTTGAACGTTATACAGAATGACATGAATTGTCTCCAGTAACTGTTTGTGTTATTCTCAGATTCTGCAGTTGAAATAACAGGTACACTGGCAAGGAGAGGGGCATCGATCCGGCAGAGCTTGGGTCTGGGTACTAAAAAATACAAACAAGAACCACTTGAACCTGTCACAGAGGCCATGACTTTATCTGAAGAGCAGACTGAGGTCGTAGACACAGTGTTGGAGCTCAGTGACACATATACTCTGCCAGAGATACCACCTATGCCTTTGTCAGGTGAGTGTGAGAGTGCATGTCCCATCTCTAGGCAGTTGACAAAGTAGTTGTAATGTAAACATCATCGTTTCTGATGAAAATGTATATGAATGTTTTAGATATTTGGACTGGGCAACATTTTTGTTACACCATTACATTTTGGTCATTTGCTTTACTAAATTTATATTTAGTTTCCTGAACATGAACATTAAAAAGTTTGCTCTTAGTCCTATGATGAGGGGTTTTTCACAGTTTGGGGCCTGGGACCCATCCTTATCATTTTGTCTGTGTTCCCATAAGATTCAAGTGATGAATCTTATTTGAACTGACATAAAAAGGCATGCAATAAAAAGTAAAAATGCAGTTTAAAATAGGTTCATGTAGTATAACCAAATGTCATACTGCTCAACAATCCGCATATGCATACCGCATACCATTCAAAAGTTTGTTCAGCATTAAATTGCTCAAAAATTTACATTTGTAATGTTACAATAGATTAAATAAATGTTGTTCTTTTGAACTTTTTATTCATCCTGGAAAAAAGGTATCACAGTTTCCACAAAAATATTAAGCAGCACAACTGTTTTCATCATTGATAATAATAAGAAATGTTTCTTGAGCAGAAAATCAGCATATTAGAATGATTTCTGAAGGATCATGTGACACTGAAGACTGGAGTAATGATGCTGAAAATTCAGCTTTGCATCACTGGAATAAATTACATTTTAAAATATACTGAAATAGAAATCAGTTATTTTATAATATTCCACAATAATATTTGATAATATCACAAAATATAGTTTTTACTGTAGTTTTGATTAAAATAAACGCATAAGAGACTTCTTTCAAAGACATAAAAAAAAAATGTACTGACTCCAAACGGCAATGAACATTTGCTGTCATTTTGCTGAAGATAAAAAGAAGAAAAACAAACACTATATACTGTCACACTGTGACTTAGATGTTCTATTCCTGCTTTTTTAGCACACCTGTCTTGAAGAGGACTTGCAATCAAAGTTACATTTTGTTCAGTATCTATTTATCTGTAAAGAACATCACATGCCGACATTATCCACACCACATCAGAAACTCTTTAGTGGCTAATCAAGGATAAACAGAGCATATTTTACAATGTTTTTAAGAAAACATGAGCTGATGTGGCAGAGATCTAGACAGAGGCATCAGACATTCCTGAATGAAATATGATAGTTGTTGATGCAAGTGTGTTACAGTTCCAGTATCAGGACACAACTCATGCAGCCGTCTGTAAACTAATATTTTGCTTTTTGTTCTACTGACATTCCTGAATGAAATATGATAGTTGTTGATGCAAGTGTGTTAAAGTTCCAGTATCAGGACACAACTCATGCAGCCGTCTGTAAACTAATATTTTGCTTTTTGTTCTACTTTTTCTGTTATTTTCTGCAGTAATGGAGATTAACAAACTGATAGAGACAGAACATTTAGAGGAGGCCTACGTGAATCTACTGTCACTACGTCTGGAGCTTCAGCGGGAGCATCAAGCTCTGGATCAAGAAGACTATCCCATCGAACTTGTCAATAAAGAGAAAGACCTCAGTCTGCTCTATGGCACACTAAAGAACAAAATGTCTGCCATTGTACGCAACTCCAGTACTCTTCCCTCACACAATAAAGAGCTGCTGGTGTATGTGGCATACATTATCCTGGAGGAAGAGAAGAGATGGGGAGCGATGCAGGGATGGAGGGAAGCATGGAAAGATGCGGTACTAAACGGGGTTCGAGATTCACTGAAGAAAGTTCCTCTGGACAGCCGCGAAAAGAATGCTTCCTGGCTGGCAGTGCATCTGGGGCTTCTGGGTAAAGCTGTGGTGGAGGATTTGCAGAGAGTGAAGACTGAACTTCTGAGCTCATATCCAGCAGACTTTAATGTGTTTGAAACCTATGTGTCCTGCCACCATGAAGCTGTAGGAGAGCATCTAAAGAGACTTCTGGAAAAGGTGACAGAGCTGAAAGATTACTACGCTCTTCTAGATTTCATTATTCATCGCTACCCCAGGTGAGGTTTTCCTCAGTTTAGATTTAGTTTTTCTAAATACAGCATGTCAATATAACTTAACTTAAAACCCTTTTTGATATTGAAGCAAGCATACTGGTTCAAACCTTCATGAAGTATATTTTTATGACACACAAAAGCTGATTTTTTTTGAAGAATATCCAGGCTGTTTGTTCCATATTATAAAAAGTGAATGGGAAACTCAGGCTCAAGTTTGGAAACAGCAGAAAACACCATTAAAGTATCTTAAAAATACATATTTCATTATTTCATTGACAGTACCATTCAGAAGTTTGGGGTTGGTAAGAATGGTAAGAACATTTTATGTCTCTTTAAGTCTTTTATGTTCATCAAGGCTCCACTTTTGGATCAAAAATACAGTAGTATTGTGAAATATTGTTCAAATTTAAAATAATGGTTTTCTATTTTAATATATTTTAAAAATGTAATTTATTCCTGTCTTGATTCATCAGAAATCATTTTAATATGCTGATTTGCTGCTCTAGAAGCATTGCTTATTATTATCAGTGTTGAAAACAGTTGTGCTGATTTTTTCAGAATTATTTGATGAATAAAGAGTTCAAAACAAAAGGATAGAAATGTCAGTATTATTTCCTTTCTGGGAAAAACAAATCCTATGCCAAACCTTTGAAGGGATGTATATATTTAAGATCTTCTGAAGCCATATAATAGCTTTGTCTGACAATTTTTCCATCATGGTTCACTTAAACACCACGTCAGGTTTGACCTCAATGACATTTGATCTGAGAACCAATGGCGTTTTATGTCGTTTACATCAAACCAGGAGTTTTGTTTGATTTACATAACTCATTCACATAAGCCAATCAATAGAGTGACCTACTGCATCAGTCAGAGGCTCTAAACATCCACGTCTCAAATCGTGAAAGGTCTAGTGGTCTCATGAATGTGTTTTTAAAAGACCCATACACAGCTGTGCCTCAGTGTGATAAATAGCTCATCGTGATTTATTCCAGCCTTCTTCAGACCTTATATGGATACTCATTTGTGATCCAGTTGATGAGATTCATTGTGACTGTACTACTACTTTAAAAGGTTGTGATTATGGCTTTATCTTAAAAATGTACTTACTTATGTACCTGAATTTAATTTATCTTTCCATAGTGAGAAGTTAATGGGAAGCATCTCTCTGCGGCCTGAGCTGAAGGAAGATCAGAGAGCACTGCCAGTGGACAAAGATTTCCTTAATCAGATAAAAGACAAATACTGTGCACGCTTACAGGTAGTTAACAAACATTTGTCATTGTCAATGCTAGAAGCGAGATCGTACTGACAGTGTGGTGTCAGATAACTGAGAGTTTCTGAATTCAGTGTAACCTGTACTCTTGATAGGCTGACATGAAAACATCACTCAACAGAATTATTGACTTGGAGAATGAGGAAATGTGGAAAGAAAAAAGAAAACCAATGATTAATGAGGGAATCTACTGCTCACACATTGACATGGACATCTGGACGGTAAGACTGCAGACTTTCATAATTAGCTCACCTTCCCTTGGTTTTAAATGGAAATCAAATTAGCGTTAAAGGAAAGTCCTTTGATTTCCCATTTATATGGCCACAAACTCATGAGGGCATTGGTTTACCAATAGAGGGCAGTATAGGACATTTATATTAACTTATAGGGGCCCCAAAACCTATTAGGAAAGTTATGATGCCTTCATATGCTATCTGAAATTTCCTGCTTCGCATTTATGAAGTCGTAATTACGAGTTTGTCATGTTTAAGTGCTTTGTTATCAGAACAAATAGGAATCATAGAGGAAACCAGGTTCATTATTGCCTATTTCTTGGGGAAATCTTATTAAAGTATAAATGTATTTACGGTAAGATATTCACCAATATCGAATGGATTTTGAATAAAATTTATTGTGTACATCTATTGTATACATTCACCATGCTATCTAGAGTCATCTTGCTGTCGATTCTGAAGTTTCAGTCAAATAAATGCTGTTTTCACTGAGTAAAATACACACAATATGCATCAAATTATTATTTATATACATATACATAAATATACATGACTGCACAGCCCTCTACGGACACCTTGGCAATTAAATTGCCATTGGCTAGTAAATGTTTTAGTTTACTCGCCAGACTGGTATACTAAATATCAAAGAAACCTGGGCTTCCATACCACCTCAGCAGTGCCACAAACTGATCACCTCCATGCCACGCCGAATTGAGGCAAGTAATTAAATAATTAAAGTAAAAGGAGCCCCTACCAAGTATTGAGTACATGTACAGTAAATGAACATACTTTCCAGAAGGCCAACAATTCACTAAAAATGTTTTTTATTGGTCTTATGAAGTATTCTAATTTGTTGAGATAGTGAATTGGTGGGTTTTTGTTAAATGTGAGCCAAAATCATCACAATTAAAAGAACCAAAGACTTAAGCTACTTCAGTCTGTGTGCACTGAATTTATTTAATACACAAGTTTCACAATTTGAGTTGAATTACTGAAATAAATGAACTTTTCCACGACATTCTAATTTATTGAGATGCACCTGTATATATATATATTCACACTGTATAATACTGTATGGCCTGGTTTCACAGACAGGGCTTAGACTAAGCCAGGACTAGGCAATAGTTCAATTAGGACATTTAAGTAATTTTTATTAACGTGCCTTAGAAAAAACATTACTGGTGTGCATTTTGAGACAAAACAGAAGCACTGATCAATTTTAAGATCAGTCAGTGCAAGTTTCTTTCAGTTAAAACAGCTCTGAAATATCTGAAAGTACACTCTTAACATCAGTCAGTCAACCATTATAATATGATATTAGGATAATCAAGTATTATTTAATGATAGAACTTTAGTAATTAGAATTAACACTTAGTAACCATGTATGAATGCATAGACATTTTAACTGAATTTAGGACTGGTGGTGGTGCTTTTTTGGTCATTCAGTGTTCTGTATGTAGATGGGAAAAAACTAACAATAATACTGATAAGATGATGATGATGATAATAATAATAATAATACGAATTCTACTAATAAGAACAGTATAAAACGCACTATAGATTAACGAGCTGCTGGATTCATGAATATTAATCAGGTTGTTTGCGTTTGCTCAGACTGATTTGCTGAAATCAAAACATTTTGACAGGAAAATACAACAGAGAATATCGTTTACATGTAGCGCGTCAATTCTGCAAGACTCTCTTGCTCTCTCTCTCTGCTCTCACCAAAGCGACCGTTACACTAGAGTTTACGGTACGTCAAATACAGGTGCACTGCGCATCCATTGAGATGAACTGAAAAATAGCACAGATTGCTTGAAGGAGAGTGAAACTCTGAAGCGCTCAGTCAGAGTGTTCGGTGAGTGAAAATATATCTGTGCTAAACTTATACTTAGCCTCCAACTCACACACTGGTGAGTAAAATCTGAGAATTTATTAGCCATTGGCTAATATTAGACATCGTTTAGTCGCAGAGAGTGAAGATTTAGTCGCATATGCAAGTGATTTACTCACAATGTAGAGGGTTGACTGTAATTGCAAGAAAAAGCAATGTAGATATTAAAGGAAAAATTTATAGAACTTAACAGTTACTACAGCAATGGTTTCCTCCTTCTTAAAGTTTATGGCCCACCGCCCGGCCAACTCGGAAACACTGGTATCAAAATTATCTCCAAGTTTCTCATAGACTCTTATATTTGATAAGTGTGATAACACATGGAGGCAGCATTAAGCCACTGTAATGTTTTGATTTTTTTCACTTTTCAAGTAAATAATTTCACACAAAGAAGTTTGTTCAGTTTTAAATGATAAAATGTTTGTGAATTGTTCAGAGTACTGATCTGTGTTATTGTAAAAAAGTTAATTCTAGCATCATTTGTGTGCAGCTGCCACTTAGTTTAAGTATTTTTTAAAAGTCTAATTCAATGACGTTTAGACATTTCTAAGTGGTTTAAGTGACCAAATCTTTTTGAGGACACTGTAATTAAAAAAAAAACAGCACAAGGTTACAAAAACACATTTATGATGTTTTCTTTCCCAGAATATTAAAGGGCATGTACAAGGATCCAGAAGAATCGATGTGAACCTTGAGCAGAATGTTGTGTGTTCCTGTTTAGAGGAACTGAAGACCTTTCTAAAACGGTTTGTGATAAAGGACTAATATGCTAATTGGAAGTCAGTTTTGTAATTCTATAACACTAAAAGCTTCTGTAGTCTACATTTTTTGTACAGGGGACAGCTAATCAAGTTTATTTCACTTAACGGCTGTTATATCTTTATGTGCTAATTTGACCGTCAGTCACTGACGTAACGTCTCCGTTCCCTCCTTCAGGGAACGAGGGTTACACAAGTAACCTAGACGTTCCCTCTCGAGCTTTCACGAGACATCACAGAGACATTTCTCTGTTATAGGAACTCCTTCCCTTCCAACCTTTCTGAAGTCCTATTGGCTCACGCCAGTCCAAATGACTGGCCAATTGTCACGACGTATCCCTCTCGCTCCTGGTGATGGAAGCGTCGTCTTGCCGCTCCACCAACCCCAACGATCACCCTGTTCCCCAGTTTCCTTCCCCGAGGACTGCTTCCACCCTCCTTCCAACATCGCGGAGCTTGTGTCCTTTGGCCAGGAGGAGGGGGATGACTCGATATCCATTTCGGCCTCGGAGAGGGAGGATTGGGTGGGATCGGAGCCCGATCAACCGGACAGCATGGGATCCCCAGACCTCCAGGAGGAGCTCATAAGATTTCTGTCGAAGGCTGTCCAGGAGTTGGAGCTTACCTGGTGTCCTCCAGAGAAGCCTGCCAGGAGTAAGCTCGACTCCTGGTATTTCAGGTCCACCCGGAAAACTGACTCGAGGGCGTTGGTCCCCTTCTTCACCAACGTACAAGAGCAGCTGGTGAAAACGTGGTCTGCTCCCCAATCGGCGTGCGTCCACTCTGCCACACAGGCCATCTTTTCCCACGTGGATGGAGCGGAGGCCCACGGGTATGTGCACTCTCCCCCAGTCGAGGTGTCCTGCAGCAACCAAGACCCTAGGCTCAGACATCAGCCTCCCCTCGAAGCCGTGCATGACCACCGCCCACCTCGCTAATAAAGCGTGTGCGTCTGATGACGGGGTGGCTTCCGCACTGCACACCATGGCAGTGCTGCAGGTTTTCCAGGCGAAGCGCCTGCAGGCGGCGGATGGCAGAGCCCTCACTGCGGAGGCTATTAAGGATCAGCGCGCGGCGACGGACTTCATGCTGCTGGCGACAAAGCGAGGCCGTGGGAAAGGCTATGCCGTGGGAAAGGCCATGGGTTTTATGGTCGTGCTTGAAAGGCACCTATGGTTAAACCTGGCTGACCTCAAGGATGCTGACCGTAAAGTGCTGCTGAACGCTCCTGTGACTGTCTTTGGTGACGCCGTGGAGTCCATTATTGAATGCTTTACGGAGGCTCAAAAGCGCGCCAAAGCCATGAGTCACGTGATGCTGAGGCTTGCTTTCCAGCAGCAGACGGCGAGATCCAGGTCCTCGTCGGCACCTGGCTCTTCCCAACGGAGGGATAACCCCAGGTCAGCGACCACGGCGGTGACTGCTACTGCTCCTCGCCAGGAGCCAGATGTCCGGAGGAAGTGCCACGGCCAGCGGAGGAGCCGGCGACGTGACTCTTGCCTGCCCCCAGCTGCTAAGCCGTTGTCCTGAACAGAGGAGGAGAGTGCGCGAGGGGCCCGGCTCCCAAGAGCCACAAGTTCATGTGTTCAAATGTTTGTGTGTTGGAAGTTCATTCAATAAAAATGCATACACTCTCACAAAAAGAGCTCTTTCCTCCTCACTCAGTCAATGCCGCACCGCTTGCCCTGCCTCAGAGCAGTGTGCAGTGGCCGCCCACACAGGTTATAGTCATGCAGCACTCGCCGGCACATCCAACGACCAAGCTGCTAAAGCCACTATGTCAGTTCCTGAGCACATGGGAAGTTATTCTGGGAATCTCGCGCTGGCTACTCGGTGTGATAGAGCGTGGGAATACCCTTCAATTCAGATGCAGACCACCCCGTTTAAATGGTGTGGTGCAGTCTCTAACATTGCCTCAAAATGCCCCGGTTCTGAGACAAGAGGTATGCAGTCTGCTCGAAAAAGGAACGATAGAGCAAGTCCCGCCGAGCGTGTAGAGCCCGTGTCCTCTCGTGTACTCGCCTCAGGTAGGCAGTAACACCGGACCTGCTCGGTGTCGATCACGCTTGCTGCGCCATTCCCCTCTACGGACCGGATACGTGCGCTCTTGTGCTCCTCATTCAGTTCCCCATGGCGAACCCTGGTGGAGTTCCTCCCGCACCCTCGGCGGTCAGGCGTGGCGGGGCGCCAGACGCCAGGCTCAGCACTCGTGTGCATGCCCAAGGTCAGCCCTTGTGCTGGGCTAGGTGCCCGTGTGTAGTGATTCCCCCTTCGGGTGATCCCACATGTGTATTCTTCCACGGTACGGCTCCCCTCTCGGTGAGCCCGTGTCTTTCCCTGGCAGTCGTTCCCTGCCATCTCTGCAGTGTAGTGATCTCACCCCAGGTGGGTTGAGTCTACCGCAGAGACTTCCATATGTAGTACTGCCCTGGGCCAGTCCATATGTGTAATTCCACATGATACCTCCTATGTGCGGGATGTGGCTTCCGTAGCGTCCCAACTGGGTACGCTTTCCCAGTGTTATCCAATGCACCACTGTATGGAACAGCAGTGGCGGTCACCTCTGCCTAGCCGCTGTCCTATCTTCCGCCCCAGCTGGTGTGGGGGGACTTGCCGGCTTCCGCAGGGCACTGGAGGGGGTCAGCAATAGTGGCGTTTTCCATACGGATCCCAATTCGTCAGTCACTGACGTAACGTTGAACGTGACTGACTGAATGGGAACGTCTAGGTTACTTGTGTAACCCTCGTTCCCTGAAGGAGGTCACGGAGACGTTACGTTCCGTTGCCACAGTTGCTGTACCACCGCTGTACGGCCGGGGCACGCAGTCTCGGCTCCTCAGCGAAAAACTGATGTGCGTTTGCACGCGCTCTCCTTTTATATCCGCGCTGCGGGGCGGGGTGCGCGTGGCGAAACACGCACGCCAACTGTCATTGGCTTGTTTAGTTAACACTCGAAGGTGATTGGGCTCTCGGGCGAGATCCCAATTCGTCAGTCACTGACGTAACGTCTCCGTTCCCTCCTTCAGGGAACGAGGGTTACACAAGTAACCTAGACGTTCCCTCTCGAGCTTTCACGAGACATCACAGAGACATTTCTCTGTTATAGGAACTCCTTCCCTTCCAACCTTTCTGAAGTCCTATTGGCTCACGCCAGTCCAAATGACTGGCCAATTGTCACGACGTATCCCTCTCGCTCCTGGTGATGGAAGCGTCGTCTTGCCGCTCCACCAACCCCAACGATCACCCTGTTCCCCAGTTTCCTTCCCCGAGGACTGCTTCCACCCTCCTTCCAACATCGCGGAGCTTGTGTCCTTTGGCCAGGAGGAGGGGGATGACTCGATATCCATTTCGGCCTCGGAGAGGGAGGATTGGGTGGGATCGGAGCCCGATCAACCGGACAGCATGGGATCCCCAGACCTCCAGGAGGAGCTCATAAGATTTCTGTCGAAGGCTGTCCAGGAGTTGGAGCTTACCTGGTGTCCTCCAGAGAAGCCTGCCAGGAGTAAGCTCGACTCCTGGTATTTCAGGTCCACCCGGAAAACTGACTCGAGGGCGTTGGTCCCCTTCTTCACCAACGTACAAGAGCAGCTGGTGAAAACGTGGTCTGCTCCCCAATCGGCGTGCGTCCACTCTGCCACACAGGCCATCTTTTCCCACGTGGATGGAGCGGAGGCCCACGGGTATGTGCACTCTCCCCCAGTCGAGGTGTCCTGCAGCAACCAAGACCCTAGGCTCAGACATCAGCCTCCCCTCGAAGCCGTGCATGACCACCGCCCACCTCGCTAATAAAGCGTGTGCGTCTGATGACGGGGTGGCTTCCGCACTGCACACCATGGCAGTGCTGCAGGTTTTCCAGGCGAAGCGCCTGCAGGCGGCGGATGGCAGAGCCCTCACTGCGGAGGCTATTAAGGATCAGCGCGCGGCGACGGACTTCATGCTGCTGGCGACAAAGCGAGGCCGTGGGAAAGGCTATGCCGTGGGAAAGGCCATGGGTTTTATGGTCGTGCTTGAAAGGCACCTATGGTTAAACCTGGCTGACCTCAAGGATGCTGACCGTAAAGTGCTGCTGAACGCTCCTGTGACTGTCTTTGGTGACGCCGTGGAGTCCATTATTGAATGCTTTACGGAGGCTCAAAAGCGCGCCAAAGCCATGAGTCACGTGATGCTGAGGCTTGCTTTCCAGCAGCAGACGGCGAGATCCAGGTCCTCGTCGGCACCTGGCTCTTCCCAACGGAGGGATAACCCCAGGTCAGCGACCACGGCGGTGACTGCTACTGCTCCTCGCCAGGAGCCAGATGTCCGGAGGAAGTGCCACGGCCAGCGGAGGAGCCGGCGACGTGACTCTTGCCTGCCCCCAGCTGCTAAGCCGTTGTCCTGAACAGAGGAGGAGAGTGCGCGAGGGGCCCGGCTCCCAAGAGCCACAAGTTCATGTGTTCAAATGTTTGTGTGTTGGAAGTTCATTCAATAAAAATGCATACACTCTCACAAAAAGAGCTCTTTCCTCCTCACTCAGTCAATGGCGCACCGCTTGCCCTGCCTCATGCGCACCTGTGTCCTGCAGCAGCCAAGACCCTAGGCTCAGACATCAGCCTCCCCTCAAAGCCGTGCAGGACCACCGCCGCAAAAGCCGCTATGTCAGTTCCTGGGCGCGTGGGAAGTTATTCCGGGAATCTCGCGCTGGCTACTCGGTGTGATAGAGCGTGGGAATACCCTTCAATTCAGATGCAGACCACCCCGTTTAAATGGTGTGGTGCAGTCTCTAACATTGCCTCAAAATGCCCCGGTTCTGAGACAAGAGGTATGCAGTCTGCTCGAAAAAGGAACGATAGAGCAAGTCCCGCCGAGCGAGCCGGAGAGCGGGTTTTACAGCCGCTATTTCGTGGTACCCAAAAGAGACGAGGGACTCCACCCGATTCTAGATCTCAGGCCCATCAACAGAGCGCTTTGCAAGCGTCCGTTCAGGATGATAACGCTGAAACAGATCCTGCCGCAAATTCACCCTGGGGACTGGTTTGCGTCCGTGGACTTAAAGGACGCGTACTTTCACATTCAGATAGCACGGCATCACAGACACTTTCTGAGGTTTGCTTTCGAGGGCACAGCGTACCAATACTCTCTTCTCCCGTTCAGGCTGGCTTTGGCCCCACGCACTTTCTCGAAGTGCATGGATGCAGCATTTTCCCCCCATCAGAGTGAGCGGGATGCGCGATTGGCTGATTTGAGCTCAGTCCCGGGACACGCTAGTCAGCCATATAGACACACTGCTTCATCACTTGGAGTCCCTAGGGCTATGTGTCAACATGCAGAAGAGCATTCTCGCCCCGAGTCAGTCTATAACATATCTGGGGGTGTGCTTCGACTCTCTCAGGAGCGCTCGGCGGCCATTTTGTCTTCCCTGCGCCATTTCAGACTGGGCAGCTCTGTTCACTTGAAGGAATTTCAGAGGCTGCTGGGACTCATGGCGTCTGCTTCAGCGGTATGTCATCAGGGCTTACTACACATGCACCCGCTGCAGTTATGGCTGAAATCTTGAGTCCCTTGGACGGCGTGGACTTTGGGCCATTTGTGCATCGTGGTCTCCCGTGGCTGCATCGAAGCTCTGAGGCCATGGCGCAACCCAGATCTCTTCAGCCGGGGAGTTCCCCTGGGCTTGGTGACGTCGTGCGTCATGGTCACGACGGACGCATCGACTCGCGGATGGGGAGCAGTGTGCAAGGGCATGCCGGCTTCGGGGCTGTGGTCAGAACCAAGGTTTGGAATGCCCTTTGCACATTAGGGCCCACTCAACAAGGGCTATCGCCTCCTCCTGGGCGTGGTCAAGAGGTAAGTCTATTCAAGATATATGCTTTGCAGCCGGCTGGTCTTCTCAGAATACCTTTGCCAGGTTTTACAAGCTGGACGTTCAGTCCTTAGCCTCCCAAGTGCTGTCGGTGAGTGACTGATTCACGTTCATTCTACCTCTATTCATGTGTGTTATGCTGCCTTGCACAGTATTACTCTGCACGGCACTCTATGCTATTGTTGTTGTTGTCTGCCCTGTACTCAGTGCAGCTTCCTGTTATTCATGTCTGATTCACTTCGTGCTACCATTATCATGTTATGTGTTATGCTGCTTAAACACAGTTATCTCTGTGCAGCCCTTCCAGTACTGTTGTTTCTTCTGCCCTGTTCTCAGCGCAGCCTACGTTATTACTGACCAGATATGCAAATTGTATACCTGGGTTTTAGAGGCTCATTGACTTATCTCCACCTATCAGCTGCGAGCCCGCCTACAAGCGTCGCTATTGGTTATTGGAATGGTGTGTGTGTGTGTTCTATCTTTGCTGAGTATGTGACTTGTACAGGCTGCTCATAGCCTCTCTCAGGGCGGGATTGAATATTGTTCCCATAACGGAGAAATGTCTCCTTGATGTCTCGTGAAAGCTCGAGAGGGAACGTCTTCGGTTACTATCGTAACCTCGGTTCCCTGAGAGCAGGAATGAGACATCACGGAAGTTGCCGTGTTCGCTACTCGACCAGCTAAGGGACGTTCAGTATCAGATTCTGACGTAATTGTCGCGTGCACCACATTTTATACTGCCTCTTGAGCTCGTCAGTATTTACATGCGATTTGCATACGTCGTGACAATTGGCCAGTCATTTGGACTAGCGTGAGCCAATAGGACTTCTGAAAGGTTGGAAGGGAAGGAGTTCCCATAACGGAGAAATGTGTCCGTGATGCCTCGTTCCCGCTCGCAGGGAACCAAGGTTACGATAGTAACCGGAGACGTTTCTTTTTGCCAGTCTATTCATATGACACATCTTTCCCATAGACACATTTCCATGTTTATTTTGCCTCAATAATATCTGACAAATTAGGTCATTTATGTGTTTTTAGATTTATTGCATAGAATTTGGGCGGAATTTAATTGTTTTTGTTTGCTTGTTTTAATTCTCTGTATGACTGACTGTGGTTACTTGTCTCTGTAGGTTTGAGTCAGCATTTGTTGAGTGGAGCAGTCCTCTCTCTAGCTCCTCTCTTTGGGCAGAGTATCACATCAGCTACATCAACAGCTTTAGTGCCCTGAAGTAAGTCAATTACACAACACAATGCCCAAAAGTCATTTTCATTTAAACTTTTTTGGGAGGAGCAGAAATAATATATAGCCAGCTGCATTCTAGTTCCTTTATTAATGAGCACCCATTTAGAAAGATTTTGTGTTTCCAGAGCCAGGAGGTCTTTAATAGAAGGAGAAAAGCTACATGGTAACATTCACATTTATATTGATGGAAGAATTTTCATTTGATATTCTAATATTTTCATAATCATAATCACTCAGTTTAGGTGTCAGGTGTATTTTAGCTAGTCGTTTTAAATACCATGAATAAAAAAACTAACATAACAATCAGTCATGTGATTTCTGGGAATATGTGCTACACACAGTAGAGGCAATAAGGCAGTTGGCAGGGGAAGTCCCTGACAGCGGGGAATGCCTGAAGGATGGAAACCATTGGATGTGTGTCTCCAAAACTTAAACCAAAGACCTTGGGAAATTCTAACTAAACATGAGGGGTATATGAAAAAAAATCATAAAATTAAGAGATTTTAGATGTGAGTGCATTATTGATTATTTCTTAAATATTACAAAGCAGAAAACGCTGCATTACAGTACAGTTTTATTATGACAAATTCATCCTATTGTTGTTAGGCAACCTAAAACCCTTAAGCTTATTAGCTGTAATCCAATCCATTTGCCAAATGTGAATCACTACCAAAGGTTTCGGGTCACTAAGATTATTTGTTATGATTTTTTAATGAAATTAATACTTGTTTTTCGTGATCATAGTTTACACAGAAAACCCGCACACCTGTTTTCAATTCTGATAATGTTTCGTATGCATCAGGTTAGCATATTAGAATAATTTCTGAAGGATCATATGATACTGAAGACTGGAGTAATGATGCTGAAAATTCAACTTTGCCATCACAGGAAGAAATTATATTTTAAAATATAAAGAAGTTATAATGAATTCTATCAATATTCAACAATATTACTGTTTTTTGATCAAGTAAATGCAGCTTTGGTGAGCACTTTTTTCAAAAAACATTTAAAAAATCTTACAATCCCCAAAGTGTACAATGGTAGTGTTACACTATAGTGCATACACTAACAAATAATTATATCCAGGTGAATGCATTTGTATGGGTTTCATGTTAGAGAACTAAATGATTTTACTAGACTATTACAATACTATTGTGATTTCTGGGAGCATAAATCAATGTAACATTACTTAGATTACTTACAGAAAACATGTCAGTACACAGTCCTTTCAAGAATTCATCTTTGTATATAAAGATTAAGCAAAAAATATATGCAAACAAATATTGTTATTATACTTTTTATTTTACAACTGTACTGTACATAAAGTGGACATAAAGAGCAAAATACACACCGCAAACAGAAAAAAACTCCCACATTTTATAAACTATTTAGTTAAATAAAGCTGACACGACAATACTACAAAACAGTATAATTTCCAAAAAAAACAGTGACATTTTGTTTTTTCCTCCAGAGAGCACATGGAGAGCTATAAAAACACCTGCCCAATTCAGCTGGAGTTGGTTCAAAAAGAAATAGATAGACTGACCACCAGTTTGAGTCAAGCTGTGATGAAGAACTTCAAAACAGATGTCAAGGTGTGAGCTTCTGAAATGCACACCTTTCTCATTGTTAAACAATGGCAGTACTTTAAGAGTCACACCAGACTCTGTGTCATGCAGATTATGACAGGCAAACAACTTTTATGAAGTATTTATTTGAATACAAAGCAATACTACATATCTGCAGGATTCTAGAAGTAAATAAATCACTGAATCACTAATAAATAATGTCTGTGAATATGCGACTGGAATTTAATAATTAACTGAATGTATACGTTTTATAGTGGAGTGAGTGAATATTAAGTATTAAAGAGCTTCTGTTTGTAGCCCTTCCTCAGGAGACAGATGACAGGGAAATGGTTTTCATTTGATGAAGACTTTTTACAGCTGATCCACAAAACTGAGACTCTTTCTGAACAGAGCAAGTACATGACCCCAAAACATAAGCAGGTGAGAGTGCAAACAGTTGGTTGCATTAATATACTCTAATGTAACCACTCTGCTACAGCTTGAGAGTGCCATAATTTTTTTCTCTATTTCCACCATTTATGCCTCTTTAGGCTTTTGTGAATGAAGCTCACTTTTTTGTGGTGAAAGAATATGTATCTCAGCTGATGAAGAATAACTACTCATGCAAAAACAGGAAGAATGAGACAGCGGCCACTAAGATCACAAATCAGTGGGAGAAACTGAAGGAGATCTTCCAAGATATGGTACAGTCTCCATAATGCCACTCTGTACAGCTGTGCTTTTCATCAAAACATCCTAACATGTTCCTTACGTATCATTTTTTGTAGAACTCCTCCTTAGACTGGCTCCATCCAGTCGGGAACCAGCTGAGCAATATCATTGGGTGCAAAAAAAGTGATGTAAAACGTAACCTACAGCCATTAGTTGAGAACTATCCAGATATCAGGTGAGAGTCATATTACTGGCTGTAGATTTACCATGTCTGTTAATGTAACATTGCTCGTTTTACTTTACTTCAACCAATGTTTTACTCATTTCAGGAAGGGTCATCTCTCAGCTGTGCTGTACTTCCGAGGAATTATAAGAGGCAGGGAAAAGCATGCTATACTACAGAAGCTGGCAGAGCTGAAACAGAGAACAGGGAATACTGGGAATAGAGAGCAGGCTCTCTTTAGTGAGATTCAAGCAGCGGTTAACACAGACTGCCTGGCTGGTACACCCTTCTCCTGTCTGTCCTTCATTGGACCGGACAGCTAATGCACTTCATTTTATTTGAAGTGGAAATAATCATTGCACTGTTTGAAAGCGACCATATGTCTAATGTATGAGCAATAAGGAATGTTTTTGGGAAATAGATGAGGTAAAGAAGGGGCTACAATGTTTTTAGTGTGTTGTGATCATATGTATGCCATTTGTTAATGTTAACTAATTAGTAAATAATAATAAAATACCACTAGGCCTTAAAAATTTGATATTTCTAGATGCCACATCCTAGTCAAGAAGCTTTCTCAAAAATGCATGCCAGTTTCAGGAATCCTCTACAAACTACTATAAGCTCACATTCAATGTTAAATTGATGTCTTTCTGATTGTCTTCACTCTTTACTGCTGTAAGTAGTAAATAAGTCAAATAAGTTGTAAATGTTGTGAACCCTATCAAAGCATCTTCTCTACACCACCAGTGGTCTCTATAAACAACAAACAGCAGTGCACTTCCCAATATCTACATGCATTATTATTCTGAATTACTGATCAGTTTAGTATTTCTTCCTAAACATGTCTCTCTGTTTTTAACAATTATGATTTGAAAACGTTCATTTGGTTTTAAATTGATTTTCTAGATCTCAAACTTGGACTGTTTTTTTTTTTTGGCCCTCTAGCGTAAAACAATTATTGCTATTCATATCAGGTAAGGTAAACCGGTGAACACTATTAAATGGCTAGTAGGCTATTTATATGCAAATAGACTGATGAAGGTTATCTGGTTTAGCCATTGTTAATAATAAAAACGTTGTTTTGTAAACCAGGTTTGTGTTTCATTAAGAGTACTGTCATTTTCCCTTTTGCTTGTAAACTCTTTCAGTTCAAGGTCTATTTGTTGCGGCTTCAAGCTAGTAGCAGCATTGTAGCCTGACCTTCTTTCCTTTATTAGCAGTTATGACTGAATTAATTATGCAGTTTCCCGGGAAATCCATCCTCTAAAACAGCTCTAAAACATTAATAACTACTATATGACTATTGTGTGATTCAGAGTATTAAAAAACGCGTTTCGGAAGATGAATTTATGATGGACTTGCTCATTATTTAAACTGTTAATCCTCCTTTTTCATAAGTAGCCTAGTGCGTTTTAGATTATGGGATAGACACTTCCGGTTTGGGGAAGTTGCGCTCAAAAGGATTGAAACAAATAATCCGTCAGTTTGACTGAATGAGCTGCACTTTTTCCTTCGTGTTCTATTTTCAGATGTCAGGAGAGTAATGTATAACAGTATTTTATTGTAACATGCTATAACAATAATTTCTATGGCACCAGCTGTTTTCAAAATACACTTACAATCTCGTTCTCTTCCCAGGTTTGTTCTCACACCAGTGCTTTAAAATGTAGTTGCCTCCCCTTTTTACTTCCTTATTAGCAGTGATTAAATATTTGTAACCCGACAAAAATTTGAAATATTAGCACTCGATGTTAACATTTTGATTAAGACAACATTGCAAAAGCCTAATATAGACAGGTTTTATTACCCCATACGAATCAAAAATATATGGTAATATACTGCAAAATATAATGCGATATATTACATCATACATTTCCAAATATTGGAAACTAGTGCTTATATTTTTCAATATACAGCATATGCATTGACAATATATAGCTGTATATTGATGCACACAAATATATTTAGAAATGACAAAAATAAATATTAATTGCTTGATCCTTTATTGAGTATGAATTGCACATAGATGTTCCCATATCAATGTGAATGTATATACACACATATATACACACATTCACGAAATGAGTTACAGCAGATTTCTAGTTCCCAGCATGCTTTGCTTCTGGAGAGTAAAAATGTTCAAATTAAGTGTTATGTCATGTGTTTTTGCTCAATATTAATATAGGGGGATATCTGTTGGTGTTTAATGTTGTATTATTTTGAAATGTAAAAGGATTTCTGGTATGTGTAAGTTTGTGGGGTTAGCATTGTGCAAAAGAGTAGTCTGTGGTCAGGACGAGGACTGGCCAAACACTATTGACATTTTTGTTAATAATTTAAAAATGAATGGTAGTGCGCCGTTCAGCACAGTGGTAGTCTATTCACTGAGTGCTTTATTATGAGCAGGTGAGCTTATGCTATTGTAAGCTAGCTATATTGTTAAATATGAAACATTTATATCATGAATGATTTTTAAATATATATCTCCATATATGTGTGTGTGTGTATACTGCATGGATATATGTTCAGTATACAGTATTTTTTACACATGCAGTATCATATCTTATCACATGTACATCTATATATTATAAAGTGTATTACTGAATATAAAATGACATATATTGTGATATACAAGTAAATATATTGTCACATATTTTTCAATATATGAAAAGCGGCAATTCCTTATGTGTTATTCAATATATTGTAATATATTTACACAATATATTATTCTGTATAATTTCTAACATACCATTATGTCGTTTCAGATATTGATCACTCATATATTAGGAAATATATTTTCTTTGCGTAAGGGACTAAACTGATATTTAACACGTCTGTAATATTTCTGCAGAAACAATTGATCTTTTGGGGTTATTCATGGTATGTTGCAGTAATTTGTTATAATTTTACACTTTAAAAATGTCCTTTTAATGTTGGTTAAAGGGTGAGTAGAATAATGTCACCTGGTTGTTCCCAGTTTTTGAAAATGCTTATTATTGCATTCATGGAGCCAACATTTAGACACAGTTTAACATAATCTCCTAATTTGCCTAAAGCTTCATGGATTGCAGGAAGGTGGGCCGCGTTATCACTGTTCCAAAACCTTTGCCATATGGGTCCACAGAAGTTAATGCGAATCAGTTCACTTGAATTCCGAAGTCAGAAACTTTCCATCATATGTTTAGTCAAGTGTTATCTACTTCCTCCTCACTTCCTCTTTTCATTATTAATGATTTTCGCTAGCTAAGCATAAATAATTTTTTAGCATGATGTTGGCTCAGGGCTGGCAAACTGAAGGTTGTTTATCAGATCCTCACAAGCCATGAGCTAAAGCCATCTTGCTTTTGAATCATCCTCCAGTTTAGAAGTAACTTACCCAAATGGAGGATTTCTGATGATAAAGCATCATGTAGCTTTTGATTTATATGCTTATTTTGTAATAAAACAACTTCACACCCCATCTGGGGTAGATTGAAAGCAGTTAGGGCATGATAATAATTTAGTTTTATCATCTTTTCAGCTGCTTACCCACAGTCTCATAAACATTATAAATATAAGCTCTGCACTCCTAAAATAAACAGACCCAATAAGAGAGGAAAAAATGGTCTGATGCCACATTGGTGAACCCATAAACAACTTAAAGCAGAAAAAAACAGACACTAATATTTTGATCTGAATGACCAAAAATGACTTGAGCAACTCCAAAGAGCCATAAAGTGACCCAAGAACATAACACAACATACAATACTATGTGACAGCATTCTGCTATGCTGAAACAACAGAAATAACCAAATGATGAAATACATAAAAACACCCAGGGGTCATTGTGTGGCTGGTTAGCATGGTTCCCCCTGCTGGCAGATAGGGTAACTACACACTCTGAATATACAAAACATCTGCCTTAAAAAAGCAGCCATGTATTCTGATGAATCAGTCTGTAAAAACCATAAATGCGTCCACATTGTGGGTGTTTTCCAATATGGTTTGTAGGAACCATACAAAAAGGACAATTTTTTGTGGTTAAATCTTTATTTCCTTATTTCACTTTCTCATACATTTCCTTGAATGTATTATATTTAAAAAAAAATACAACACTATATAAAGACAAGTGTCAACTATATTATAATAAAGGGTTCTGAGAAAATGTATGTCAGATTGGAGGAAGTTGTCACATGCATTTAATAAGTTTATACATTAATTAATTACAATTCTATGTTGGCCTAAACAATGTTTTCATATTTTTACTTATTCAGACTTTTTCTTGAATCATTTTATGTTCCATGTTTTGTTTTCTTACTTACATTTCATGTTTTTTACTTATATTTGCATTTTGCTGAAGTTCTGTTTAATGGCAGATTCCTATTGTGACAACATGCCCCCCAGTCTTTCCATGGCTTACAAAAAAGAAAGAAAGAAAAAAGGGCAAATGTGAAAGTATTTTACCTGGCTCAGGTGAAATGAGCAGGATAGTTGATAAAGGCTTCACAGTGTTTGAAGACATACACTGAATATATTTCAGGTAAGAGCTTCACTACCATGCTTTCTACTTTATTTCTTTAATTAAATTCAGTGTGTAATAATGGAGACATTTGACTGGAAACCCCTAAATTAGGCCATTAGTGAATCATGATATTCATTTCAGCAATTACAGGTGAGATGATTTTGTGATACTCTGAAGGACTTTTACATTTTATTACGCCGACTTCCTTTTCAGTTGTAAAATATGTGTATGATTTATTTTAACATAAAATGAACAAACATGTTGTGTAGATATATACAATAGCTGGCATATCTTGCATCATCTCTATACATTTCTAAACGTTTGCGGAAAGAACTTATGCTTTCAAAATTACTGGTTGTATTTTGTTGGGTTATTGATTTCATAATATTTTCTTATGGTTTTAGTTTGAAAATGAGCACTGAACAAAATGCACTTGAACAGAATCAGGCATTATAATGTACGCCTACATTAAAAAAAATACAGTTCAAACATTATCTCAGTCCTCCGCAAGTCTTATGTGATGGGTGCTGCAGTTTTCTTTACTAAGAAAATGTAAACATTATTATTATTAAACAAATGAAAGCATTTTTAAAATACTGTTGTAATGCATAATATAATGAATCATTTTGTATTGTATGTTAACATAACAGATGATGATCTAACAGCATTTGAGTTGGCAACAGCTGAAGATGACAAATCACAAATAGTATTTTTATGGCTGAAGTTATAATTTTAGAAATTCAGGTTATGATTACTCTGAAACTATTTTTGTAGTAGGACGATAACAAGAAATCTCTCCGGAGATGAAGAGGGGAGATCAAAGAGCTCTTCTTCTGGAGGAGGATGTCCTAGATCCTGTAGTCACTTACAGGCAGAAGAACAGAGATCAGCGTTTACCCAGAAGCAGGTGACCAATACAAGTGACCAATACAATCCATACAGACGCACTGCATTCACCCAAACACTGCAGGGACCTGATCTTCCTTCCTGTCTTTGCAACCCACTGCCTTTTTTCAGGATGGCTGACTTATGACCCAGTACTGACTAAAGCAGGGTTTTCCTGTAATCCACTGATGTTTTCCTGGAATACTTCTGATGCTGAAAGACTGGATCTGCGCTGACTATCCAACGCTATCTCACAACCAAAATTGTTTTTTGTAAATTGCTTGGAAATGACTTATAACACCTTTCCCAGACTCACTGGCATCAATAATCGTTCTTCTAAGGGGATTAGAAGATAGATGTTTTGATATTGTGATGCTACACAAGAATTGATGTCAACAGTTATAGGCCTCTCTAATCTTTCTTCTGTCCGAAAACGAAATTGCAAACACTTTCATGCAACACACAGACTCATTGGAAATACCCTACGTTTCTGCAAAACCTGAAATTTGACCCTGGACCACAAACCCAGTCATAAGGGTCAATTTTTTGAAATTGAGATTTATGCAACATCTAAACGCTGAATAAATAAGCTTTCCATTGATGTATGGTTTGTTAGGATAGGACAATATTTGGCTGAGATACAA